ACGAGTCAAGACTTTTGTACCCGATATATCAATTTACAGATTTAAGATAATTGAGTAAATTAATTAAAACAAACATTGCCTTTACTGTTTATTGAGACTAAAGAGTCGCAATGAATTGTGATAAATTTAAAAACCAGTTCATAAAAAAGTAAAATCAATAGCCCAAACACTGAAGCTTTAAACCGACTTCATATTTATGTATATCTGCTCCATACTAGTTACTTTTTCAAATGGGGTAGAGACGGTTGAACAACTTTATCAGGTAGTATAGCTCGTGGTAGACTAAGTGGACAATACTTACCAAACTTTTATATGCGCAAAACTTTGCAAGTCAAAACCCACGCTGCGATTTAATAAGCAAGAAATTGAGAAAAAAAACTCCACAAAGTAAGATGTCATTAAACTATCTGCTTATATGAAACCTGCTGCTTTCCGCCTGTGCCTGCTAAGTGACATTGAAAAAATTGTGGCGTGGCAACTTCAAGATCCCAATGAAAGCTGTAGGTGCATTGAGCCGGCAGCAGTTAAAAACACGAAAACACCGCTGCGGGTAAGTGAGTTCGCTTAAAAGGCAGTAGTAACAGAAATATCATCCACACACTGTAAATGCAAGCAACAAATTAATGCCTGACGAAACCACATCTCGGCCTTTACACTGGACGAATTTAAAATTCATTCATGCTTGCAACAGTCGATCGGCCAACAGACAGACTGCCGCCACCCGCTTCATCTTGTAAAATGATTAATAGAGCGCTGCTCTGTTGAAAGTCCAATCCCACTGAGCTGTGCGTAATCGGTTCAGCTGTCCTGCAACTCATTTCGTTTGACGCCGAGCACTTAATGAAGCTCCCAATGACGCAGATGAGTGCGTTTATGCAATCGCCGGGCTCCTCTGATCGATAAGCTCACATACTTTCACATCGGCAAACATTTTGTCACTATGGAGCCGTTAACGTTCATTTGAGCAGGCCGACTAATAGCTATTGTAAATTAATAATGCTGCGCAGCCGAGTGATTCACAAGGAAGAAGACCAGCTGACTTGCAGCATGCACTTGGGAGCCTTCAGCCTGAATTCGACTTCAACTACCAAGCTGCGGCTTACAAGCGAAACGAAAAAAATCACGAACGGCATCCCCAACGGCAAGCGCGTCAAGGCCGTTGAATTGAGCATCTGCAAAATCCAGTTTATTCATTTATCAACCCGCAAAGGAGACAATAAAAAAGCTGCAGCGGGCACAAGCCACTTCGAACATGGTTTCAAGGGGATGCGGTTGTTATTTTCATTTTAAGCTGCAGCAGCCGAAGTTTATTAATAACTGTGTGAATATTGCAATTAATGGTGCAGACTTCACGGTTAAAAGTCAAAGAGCTGAGTATAGTGAATCACAAAATTTGGCAGGATCGTATTTAACTCTGCGAGCCCGCCCAAAAGACAAAACAGGAAAATATTATGAGCTCGCCTTTCTAAAATACTCGACAACATAACCTTGAGTTGTCCAAGCAAAACAATCACCCCTGCCCTTTTGAGCATTCCAAGTTATCCTAGATCCATTGATAAAAAAGGAAGCTTACAGAATGGCAAAGCCCTAAGAAAAACTTATTCTATAAAAGCTGTTGCTTTGAATTCAGGGAATGTTTAAGCGATTAGAAAATGCATAAATAAAGTTAATAATAGCACTCAATAGTATTCATTTATCGACCATATAGTTTTTAACGCCGTATAGAATGGCCGGTTATGAAGCACAGCCCAATCACAAAGACATGCAGCTTAGGTGTCGGTCTCAAATGTGAAATATAATTAAAATTATCGGAAAAATTAAAAGTTTTTACGCAATCCAACGCACACTTAACTGCCGAACTGTCTCGGTTGCGGTGAAAGAAAAAGAGAGCTATCTGACCGTAGCCGAGCAGGTGTGAGAGTGTTAAGTGGAGCAGCGCCATTGGGCCCCATTTAATTCCACGCATAGAAACGTCAAGAGCTCTTTTCACATCGTTTGTGGATGTTGTCGGGCTGAAGCAATGTTTTAATAGATTGCTCATTGCGCAGCAGAAATAATTTGCAGGTGTATTACGTTAAAATGTGCATTTCAAGGTGAGTAACACCATTAACACCGAGCTCGTAAGGGCGATCGTTAAATATAAGGGAAGTTGGTTGCCTATTAGTACTCCTCGCACTGTGCCGACAACAATTTCAACTTCCAATTCAAACCAAATTAACTGAAGCCTTTCGAAACCCAGGGATTACCATGGCTGTGTTGTGTGTAAATTTATTCAAGCTTGCCTCATACTCACTGGAATACTATTCGAAAGCGAAAGTGCACCGCTGTGCATGCAAAACGAAGTTGCGCCATGTCATTGCTTGTGCATGCTGTATAAAGCGTTCAGATTACACTCGAAGACCTAGCCAAGTAATTTAATGACGATCTTCCGCATGCGCCAACGATTTCGCACGGTATGCATTGACACTGCCTGCGGTTAAGCTGGGGGCGGCTTAATGGTTGGGTGGAGGCGGGGTTTCCGAATTGGCATTGACAGTTCGGGTAATGATGTTTTATCAGTGGATCGTAACTTGCCTCTAAGCTTTGCGAGTTGTATACTGATAACAAAGCACCAACGTAACTTTATGTTCTCGTAGTTTGTAAAAACTTTCGCCATTGGCCTTTCACAGGTCTGAGGCTTTCCCATGGAAACCAGCCACATTGAATTTTTTAAATTTTCGCTAAGCATTTGCTTGCTATAACGCATGGAAATTTTGGGGCATAACTGAGGTCTCTGCCCACAGCCAATGGAGACCAGAAACGAGACCGAGACCTTTCGCTAGCTTAAAGAAATGTCATACAAATTTGTTTATAGTTCAAAGAAATGGAAAGTGTTGTCAGTGTTTCTGACTTTACCCAAGTCCGTCAAAAGTCTTTAGCTTGTTTTTTATGGCTTTCGCTAGCTTTTTATTTATTTTATAATGCTTGGCTGTAACTCATTTGTTTCTGTTTTATTGTGTCATTATTAACAACCAGCTGCCTTGACTTGTTTATTTAACTTTCGTGCCCTAACACGACTCGACTTATAACTGTTAAGCCAAGTGCGGCACATTCCCTTGCCTTCAAATACCCTCAGTCTATTACTAATAATTATTAGTTTTAGAACTTACGTCTTGTTAAAGCTAATAGAAAGCCTTTCCCTTTTAAACTCTCAAACACAACTAAAGCAAATAATGCAGGTTGCTTACAAATTAACTTATGTCTTTAAATTATTATTGCGTTCTTTTATGTATGTATGTATTTTATTAATATTACCAGTGAAAGGAATAAACGTTACTGTGGTGTAGGTGCTAGAGAGTTGGGATTAAGCATGCAAATTAAATCGAACAATTATATCAAAAGTTATTAAGATAATTATAGTCGGTATAATTTAATAGTCAGGCTGTCGACCATAGCGTTCCTTCTCTTTTTTAAAGTACAGGAGTATTCAAAAACTTAAAGCTTTATTAAATTGCTCATAACAGAAAATCATCCATAAAACAATAACAAGGATCAATAAACCAAGACAATAGTGTAATATATTTACAAACTCCCTTTTCCATACATTTTGACCTATAAGTAAAGAAAACATTATTTCGGCAGTAGTGCAGCCTTGTATGTAATAGTGTCGAAACTAAGCACATATTTATATACGTACGTGCAGAAAATTTTCAATTTAATTATATTTTTAATTTGAAGGGTAGGGGCGGCAAACTTTCTATTTTTATGAAGTTTTTAAAAAATATTAATACAATCTTCTCTTTCTCAATCAATTACACGTACTTTACTAAAACCTCTTTTTTATTTTCCATTATCTCCTTGTCTTCTTTTGACAAATTTATGCATATTTAAATGTGAACGAATAATGAAGTGAACTGTTTTGCAGATTATTAACAGTTATTATAACCGCAATTTGCTCGGTCCCACCGACACACTCACTCAGCCAAACTCTTATTCAACCCATTCATACCATTCGAGCCTGTGTGTTATATGCAATTAATATTTGAGCCATAATCTAGTTGGCTGGCTGCTGACTGATTGGCATACCTTACATAACTCCATTACCATTACCAAGCAGTTTGTTGAGTGGACAACATGGAGTGACCAATAGCTTGACACGGTTCGGCTTGCTTTGCTCGAAACGCTTGATTATATTATTGTTTGCTGGTAAATAGAGCAGGTGATCAGACCATGTATTTACCTACATACCTAATTAGTTATCCCCTTATGTAAATACTTTTACTTGTGTATATATTTACATTAAACTACGCTCCGTTGACAAGCGATCAATCACTCAAAAAAAAAACTTTGGTCCCGAGTAAAATAAATAAAAATAAAAATACTTTTATATTCGCCAAACAGCTTGAAACCCGGAGTAGCTCGCGCCTGAGCTTGGAACAAGTGCCTGGCAGCTGGTGGTTTGACTTCTTCCGAGATTTTTGAATTCGGCAACAAACTTTTTGCGAGTTTAGATAATTCGGCTGGGACTGAGACAAAAACACGATTGCCTTCTGCGAAACAGAATGTTTACAAGACAAAGTTCCGAACATGTTTGAGACTGAGAAGAATAAGAATTAGTCGGGCACAAAGATACAATGTTGAAAAGAGCTGGCCAGATTCCGAATGTATTCTCTCGGACTCTTACTTTCATGCTAACCGCCAGATGAGGTAACAACATATATTTCGGTTTTGGCTTTAATGATCGCTGCCATTCAAGTAAAACATTAAACAGCTTGCAGAAACATAAAATTCAACTCCTTTAATAACTTCTTTGACTTGGGTACAAATCCGTTGTATTTCTGCCAGTATTAGTCTAGTGTTTTGCTACAATCTGGGTGTGTGAAGTCTGCTTAAGTACTATTAGAGTCTTCCCTAGGACTAGTGGATAGAGTGATTCAGCTCTTTCGCGCGAATCCATTTGCCCCAAAGTCTCTGCCTCTATTCCCTGAAGAGTATCCGTATTTGAAGTGGGCATTACTTACCTGTTTTGAATAGCAGTATACATAATCCCAGCAGGCACAGAATGCTTGGTCGACATGTTAAATACTCCATGTTGCAGGTATTGCGCGTCGTCGTAACTGTAACTGTAAATTTTCTTGATGTGGTTGGTGCAGTTGCGTTTTGGGGTTAGTTCACAGAATTTAAAATACCAATAGACAAACTTAGGTCGAAAAGAACTGTGGAGCGCGGACCGTGGGGGCAGCAGCAGCCGCAGCCGTAGCAGTAGCAGTGGCAGTTGCCGTTGAGAAAAGCTCTGTTTTGTTGCATACAATTGCTAAATAACTAAGAAGGCAGTGTTGCAATTTTTCAATTTAGATTTTTTTCCAGCCTTGTTTTACAATTTTATACGGTGGGTTTTGTTTCTGCCGATACTGTGGCTTTGGCGACGGCTGTAAGTGCACTTTGTTTGAACGTGTTTGTATTGTTGTAAGTAGATTTAGTTGCTGCCACTATTATTCGAGCTTTCGTTTGTGGCTTAAGACAACGCGTCGATGCCTAGTTCATACACACGTTCACAGATTACAACACTTAGTTTTTCTCCATTGCTTTTGGCAAGCGGTTTTTCAGTTCGGTTTTTAGTTTTTCACTTGAGCCGCTACAATGACCGCCAGTTTGCTTGCCAATTCCATTGGAAAAAATAGCTTGGCATAATGCAAAGAGAAGATCTAAACGATCCTCGACCGCTTGCTGTGATTCATTTTCCGATACGGTATTCGCGGGCACTACCAAATCGGAAAACTTTGTGCGAGCTAGTCTGAAGCGTGGAGAGAAAAATGCGAGGCAAAATAAAACAAAACTTGCACGTTTTTTATTTTTTTTGTTGATGCTTGTATATTTAGCGATAAACTTTCTTTTCAACGCAAAGCGAGCCTACCGACACACGCTCGAGCTCGTCGACTGAACTACAAAATGCAGTTTTACTTGCTTTCTATGTACGATTTTTGGCCGGTGCAGTATTTAAAATTTGAGGGCTCTAAATTTGTTGATCGCGTTTAACATATTGATTGACAGTAAAACGCCACGCAACTGCCGGAGGGTCAATACAATCGGTTGAGGCAGTCGACAAGTCCGGGTGACCCTCGAGTGTGACTTCTTACCGTGGGCTTAAGCGGTCCACACGTCCTAATCGGAGGAACTATACAGCGCGACTGTGCGAAGTGAGTGTCTCGAGATACTCGACAAGCTTAGCCAGCCGACCAGTCCGCGCCAGGTTTCGGTGCCAAGCTTTTGGGCCAAGTTCGGTCTGAGCCATGCTTAACTCGGTCTCAGCACCAGGCCAAACTCGTAAAGTAACAGACTGTTAAAGTCGCTGTTGCACTCGCTGGGGCGCGGTGGCATCTCTTAAGCTTTTGAAAGTAAGAGTAAAGCCAAAGCTTGTGTCATTGCAAACAGGCCTAGCTTCTAGTCTGTGGCTGCTGTTGGTGTTTCTGGACAATGGCTGCTCTGGTTGGGCTTATTATTTTCCCCCAATTACTTCGGATCTGTGCACAGATCGGTTTTCTTGTTGGGTTTAAGCACTTGGCTGAGAATTTAACCCACAGTGCCAGATGATTTTCAAACCAGATACTCACACAAGGCGGGTTACTTGTGTGGTTTCCCAAACACCAAGGAAAACCAGCGCACCACCAGCATGGCTGCAACCTGCAACCGTCCCACTCTAGCCAATGGCTTGGCCACTATTTACCATAGCGATTGTGAAATATTGATACAATTTTAGTTACATTTAGTCTTATTTATTTTTAAGCTTAAGCAGCAGGTTTGCCCTACGCCCCTAGAGAGCTGAGATTGAAGAATGCTTACCAATGTGACTTCAATATCGTCTGAAGCTTCAATCCAATTCAAGAACTGCAACCACCCAGCCGGTTGTCCTCGTTGAATTATATTTGCCATACCCTTTAGGTATTGCTAGAGTTTTTTCAACGCAGGCAATTTCGAGCAAGAGAATTGAAAGTGAAACCGAGTTGGAAACAAGGCAACGACCAAGAACTGGGCCAAAGCAGCCAAGCAAAGCCGAGCCAAAGCTGCAAAGTAAAAGGGGGCTCTGGTGAACGGTTGCGCCAACTTTTGGTGGCTTGGGCAAGGCATGAGCATTTATATAATTCTGTACCTATTTATTTATTGCTGGATTGTATTTCGCACGATTTATTCTGGGAGTGAAGGGCGAATCGTATTTTGCCGTTAACATTGTTATATTTCGTTAGGAAGTTATCTTATTTTCACAGTTGAGCCAGCACGAGGTCACTGCCGGGCCTTCATAATTGGGTTTCGCGTACCAACCCGTTTGCTTAAATTGTTTTTCTCCAAATAAAAGTTAGAATGTAACTCTCGATATTTGATTTAATTTTCAAATTATTTAGAACACGGGTGTGCCCATGACTTTAATAACTGAAATCAAATTGTTATGAATTCAGATTGGTGTTTATTACAACAGTCCACTGACAATCAAGTGAGCATGCCCGCGACTTTGTCGTAGTTTGACAGGTAGTTATTAAGTTTAATGGAATATTTCACAAACGAATTATTATGATGCGGGCTAATGTCTTAATTACAAAAAGAAAGGAAAGCTAACTTCGGGCGGAGCCGAAGTTGATATACCCTTGCAGAATATTCTGTAAATTATATTCTCCAAAATTATTCATATGATGCATTCTTAATACTCATAAAAAATTTCAACTTCCTAACTTTACAAACACCAGAGTTTTGGCATTTCCGATTTCAATCAGTTATATGGCGGCTATAGGATATAGTCGGCCGATCCCGGCCGTTCCGACTTATATACTGCGTGCAGAGGAACGAAGGGTGTGAAAAAAATCAATTCGATATCTTTATAACTGAGAGACTAGTTCGCGTAGAAACAGACAGACGGACATACTTATATCAACTCAGGACGCGATCCTGATCAAGAATATATATACTTTATAGGATCGGAGATTTCTCCTTCACTGCGTTGCACACTTTTGACCCTCTCCAAAAAATTTGATCAACGTTAAAATGAAAATTTTTAATGCAGATTTTTTGAGAATCAAATTACGAGTCTTAGGAGATATGCCACTTTGAAATCGGACAAAATTTAGTAAAGTTATGGACTCCGGAAGTCCAGTTTTGGGCCACCTTTTAACAACACATCGGAAACTTGGAAATAAATGAAAATTTTGAATGCAGATTTTTTTTGAGAATCAAATTACGAGTCTTAGGAGATATGCCACTTTGAAATCGGACAAAATTTGGTAAAGTTTTGGACTCCGGAAGTCCAGTTTTGGGCCACCTTTTAACAACACATAGGAAACTTGCAAATAAATGACATGCAAATGGGTCAAAAATATGACCAACGTTAAAATGAAAATTTTGAATGCAGATTTTTTGAGAATCAAATTACGGAGTATGCCACTTTGAAATCGGACAAAATTTGGTAAAGCTACGGACTATGGAAGTCCAGTTTTGGTCCACCTTTTAACAACACATCGGAAACTTGGATATAAATGACATGAAAATGGGTCAAAAATTGGACCAACGTTAAAATGAAAATTTTGAATGCAGATTTTTTGAGAATCAAATTACGAGTCTTAGGATATATGCCACTTTGAAATCGGACAATATTTGGTAAAGTTATAGACTCCGGAATTCCAGTTTTGGGCCACCTTTTAACAATACGTCGGAAACTTGGATATAAATGACATGAAAATGGGTCAAAAATTGGACCAACGTTAAAATTAAAATTTTGAATGCATATTTTTTGAGAATCAAATTACGAGTCTTAGGAGATATGCCACTTAGAAATCGGACTAAATTTGGTAATGTTTTGGACTCCGGAAGTCCAGTTTTGGGACACCTTTTAACAACACATCGGAAACTTGGATATAAATGACATGAAAATGGGTCAAAAATTGGACCAACGTTAAAATGAAAATTTTGAATGCAGATTTTTTGAGAATCAAATTACGAGTCTTAGGATATATGCCACTTTGAAATCGGACAATATTTGGTAAAGTTATGGACTCCGGAATTCCAGTTTTGGGCCACCTTTTAACAATACGTCGGAAACTTGGATATAAATGACATGAAAATGGGTCAAAAATTGGACCAACGTTAAAATTAAAATTTTGAATGCATATTTTTTGAGAATCAAATTACGAGTCTTAGGAGATATGCCACTTTGAAATCGGACAAAATTTGGTAAAGTTTTGGACTCCGGAAGTCCAGCTTTGGGTCACCTTTTAACAACACATAGGAAACTTGGAAATAAATGACAAGCAAATGGGTCAAAAATTGGACCAACGTTAAAATGAAAATTTTGAATACAGATTTTTTGAGAATCAAATTACGAGCCTTAGGAGATATGCCACTTTGGGATCGGACAAAATTTGGTAAAGTTAAAAAAAAAAATTGGACCAACGTTAAAATTAAAATTTTGAATGCAGATTTTTCGAGAATCAAATTACGAGTCTTAGGAGATATGCCACTTTGAAATCGGACAAAATTTGGTAAAGTTATGGACTCCGGAATTCCAGTTTTAAGCCACCTCTTAACAACACATCGGAAACTTGGAAATAAATGACATGAAAATGGGACAAAAATTGGACCAACGTTAAAATGAAAATTTTGATGGCAGATTTTTTGAGAATCAAATTACGACTCTTAGGAGATATGCCACTTTGAAATCGGACAAATTTTGGTAAAGTTATATACTCCGGAAGTCCAGTTTTGGGCCAACTTTTAACAACACATAGGAAACTTGGAAATAAATGACAAGCAAATGGGTAAAAAATTGGACCAACGTTAAAATTAAAATTTTGAATGCAGATTTTTTGAGAATCAAATTACGAGTCTTAGGAGATATGCCACTTTGAAATCGGACAAAATTTGGTAACGTTATGGACTATGGAAGTCCAGTTTTGGTCCACCTCTTAACAACACATCGGAAACTTGGAAATAAATGACATGAAAATGGGTCAAAAATTGGACCAACGTTAAAATGAAAATTTTGAATACAGATTTTTTGAGAATAAAATTACGAGTCTTAGGAGATATGCCACTTTGAAATCGGACCAAATTTGGTAAAGTTATGGACTCCGGAAGTCCCGTTTTGGCCCACCTTTTAACAACCCATCGGAAACTTGGAAATAAATGACATGCAAATGGGTCAAAAATATGACCAACGTTAAAATGAAAATTTTGAATGCAGATTTTTTGAGAATCAAATTACGAGTCTTAGGAGATATGCCACTTTGAAATCGGACAAATTTTGGAAAAGTTATGGACTCCGGAAGTCCAGTTTTGGGCCACCTCTTAACAACACATAGGAAACTTGGAAATAAATGACAAGCAAATGGGTAAAAAATTGGACCAACGTTAAAATAAAAATTTTGAATGCAGATTTTTTGAGAATCAAATTACGAGTCTTAGGAGATATGCCACTTTGAAATCGGACAAAATTTGGTAACGTTATGGACTATGGAAATCCAGTTTTGGTCCACCTCTTAACAACACATCGGAAACTTGGAAATAAATGACATGAAAATGGGTCAAAAATTGGACCAACGTTAAAATGAAAATTTTGAATGCAGATTTTTTGAGAATTAAATTACGAGTCTTAGGAGATATGCCACTTTGAAATCGGACAATATTTGGTAAAGTTATGGACTCCGGAATTCCAGTTTTGGGCCACCTTTTAACAACACATCGGAAACATGGATATAAATGACATGAAAATGGGTCAAAAATTGGACCAACGTTAAAATAAAAATTTTGAATGCATATTTTTTGAGAATCAAATTACGAGTCTTAGGAGATATGCCACTTAGAAATCGGACTAAATTTGGTAAAGTTTTGGACTCCGGAAGTCCAGTTTTGGGCCACCTTTTAACAACACATCGGAAACATGGATATAAATGACATGAAAATGGGTCAAAAATTGGACCAACGTTAAAATGAAAATTTTGAATGCAGATTTTTTGAGAATTAAATTACGAGTCTTAGGAGATATGCCACTTTGAAATCGGACAATATTTGGTAAAGTTATGGACTCCGGAATTCCAGTTTTGGGCCACCTTTTAACAACACATCGGAAACTTGGATATTAATGACATGAAAATGGGTCAAAAATTGGACCAACGTTAAAATAAAAATTTTGAATGCATATTTTTTGAGAATCAAATTACGAGTCTTAGGAGATATGCCACTTTGAAATCG